CCAGCCCAAACTCTGCAGATTCCCAGCCCATCCCAGTGCCCTTCCCAACATCCCAGGACACAGGGACAGGAGGCCGCTGCACTTTAATAATTAAATTCTTCATTAATGACACTGTGGGATCCCCTGGAGTGCACCACCCATCCCAATTCCCACTGGGAATTCCACACTGCTCCAAAGCCTTCAGTGCCTGCTTTGCCCAGGGAAAAAAACCTTTGGCACAGCCCAGGAGTGGGCAATGTTTCAGTCTGGAGCTCCCAAAAAAATCCTTCCAGAGGATATTCCTGCTCTTCCCAGGGACAGATCCAAGGGCAATCTGCCTCTGGAATTTAATCATTCCAAAAAAATTTTGGAGTTCCCAAAAAACCTTCAAGAGGATATTCCTGCTCTCGCAGGGACAATCTGCCTCTGGAATTTCACGATTCCCAGCTCCTAAAAAACCTTTCAAAACTGTTCCTGCTCTCCCAGGGACAGATGCAAGGACAATCTGCCTCTGGAATTTAATCATTCCCAAAATTGATGGAGTTCCCAAAAAACTTTCAAGAGGATATTCCTGCACCAAATCCGCATTTTCCAGCCCCAAATCCACATTTTCCAGCCCCAAATCCACATTTTCCAGCCCAAATTATTCCATTAGCTGGCTCCACGTGAAAGGCTCTTCCCAGAGAGAAAGGGGGAACGTTGAACCTCTAAAATTGCTGGAAAAGTCAATGGGGAAAAAACCACATTTTGAGAGCTGAAGTCCCAAAATCCCATAAATCCCATTGTGGGATCCAACACTGGAACCTCGTGGCTCCAAGGAGTCAGAAATGATGGGAATGGCACCAGCCAGTCACCTCCAGAGGTGCCACAATCACGATTTTGGGGTAAACCCCCACAATTCCCAAACATCCCCAGGATAACTACAGCTTCAGCTTGAGCCAGGGGTGGAGGACGGTGATGATGGGAGGGGGTGAGACCCCAAGAGATTCACATTTTCCAGCCCCAAATCCGCATTTTCCAGCCCCAAATCCACATTTTCCAGCCCCAATTATTCCATTAGCTGGCTCCACGTGAAAGGCTCTTCCCAGAGAGAAAGGGGGAACGTTGAACCTCTAAAATTGCGGGAAAAGTCACATTTTGGGAGCTGAAGTCCATGTGGGATCCAACGCTGCAACCTCGTGGCTCCAAGGAGTCAGGCATGATGGGAATGGCACCAGCCAGTCACCTCCAGAGGTGCCACAAACCCCCCAAAATTCCCAAATATGTGAATTTTTGAAGCCAGGATAACTATGGCTTCAGCTTGAGCCAGGGGTGGAGGATGGTGATGATGGAGAGCACGGAGGAGGTGAGCCCACAGAACCCCACAATTCCAGGGCTGCTCCTGCACAAGCCCAGCTTTTCCAGAGGGATCACCAGGTCGCAGGCATTCCTCAGCAGGTCCAGCAGCAATGGAGGGTTCTCCCGCAGCACCTGCAGCAGGAGCTGCAGCTGGAGCTGCAGCTGGAGCCGGAGGTGCTGGATCCTGCCCTCAGCCTGGGGCTGGGGGCTTTTTTGGGGGCTTTTTTGGGGGCTCTTGCCACGTTTCCTGGCGGCCTCGGCGCGTTCCAGCAGCAGCCGGATCTCGTAGGCGTCCCTGCTGAGGTTCACCACCAGAGCAAACAGGTAATACCTGGGGAGAACAGGGGCGGAAAGTGGGAGACAGGGAAGCAGCGGAAGCAGAAGGCTCTGGCTGCTCCCAGCAGCCACAGAAATGCCCGGGGTAATGGAAAAGTCACATTCATCTCTCTCATGGGATTGCATTCCTTATTCTCTCCAGGTGAACCCCACTCCCTGCTCTCCCTGAGGAATTCCATTCCCTTATTCTCCCTCGGGAGCCCCACTCCTTGTCCTCTCTTGGGAATTCCACTCTCTGTTTTCTCTAGAGGAACCCCATTCCCTGCTCCCCCTCAGGACTTCCATTCCCTGCTCCCCCTCAGGACCCCCACTCCCTGATCTCCCTGAGGAATTCTATTTCCTGCTTCCCTTGGGAACATCATTCCCTGCTCTCCCTGAGGAATCTCATCCCTTATTCTGCCCACGGGAACCCCATTCCCAGCTCTCCCTCAGGAATCCCATTCCTTATTCTCTTCAGGGGAATCCTATTCCCTTCTCTCCATAAGGACCCCCATTCCCTGCTCCCCCTCAGGAATTCCACTCCCTGCTCCCCCTCAGGAATTCCACTCCCTGCTCCCCCTCAGGACCCCCATTCCCTGCTCCCCCTCAGGACCCCCATTCCTTGCTCTCCCTCAGGAATTCCATTCCCTGCTCCCCCTCAGGACCCCCA